GGTGGGAAATGGACTGGTTTTGGTCATACTGTGGAAGAAAAGGCGGATCATGAATGCTACCGACATCTTTATCCTCCATCTTTGCTTAGCTGACATTCTGCTGCTGCTTACGCTGCCTTTCTGGGCTGTAGAGGCAGTGAAGGGGTGGATCTTCGGCATAGCGCTCTGCAAGCTGACTGGAGCTCTGTTCAAGGTGGGCAAAAGTCTATAGGGTCAGTTTTTTATGGCTGTGTGTTGATTTTGTGAAATTATGGGTTGAATTGATTACAATATTCTATAGAATAGATATGCAGTTGGTGGTATTGAAGGAATATTTCTTTATATTTCGTGTTAAAGGAATTTTTTGATAATTTAAATAATTAAATTTTTAAATTTGAATACTATGTAAACAGTGAGTATTTCAACTAATTTTATGGATTGGCTCTATTCATTTCCATTGCTCTTCTTTGAAACCCAGATCTTTTTTTAATATATGGAAAATTCATTTTGTGTGACACAACATTATGCCAAAAATGCTGTTGATTGAGCTTAACTACTGTACCAGGAATATTGCTTTAATAATCAATTATTGGTTTGCAATTTATCATTGTCAAATCTTTCCCCATCAGATCAATTTCTACTGTGGCATTTTCATGCTGTCCTGCGTCAGTCTTGACCGCTACCTGTCCATCGTTCACGCAGTGCAGATGTATTCTCGTAAAAGGCCAATGGTGACTCACTGTTGCTGCCTGATGGTCTGGCTCTTCTGCCTTCTGCTCTCCATTCCTGATTGGAAATTCCTTGTGGCCACTGAGGACTCCAGACGTCAGGATAGAACACAATGTGTTCCAGAATATCCATCTCATTCTTGGCTTCTGGTCACTCGTCTGCTCTACCATATTTTGGGTTTCATTCTTCCAGCACTAATAATGCTGTTCTGTTACTCTTGCATACTGCTGCGGCTGCGGCGTGGCTCCCAGTGCATGCAGAAGAAGAGGGCCATCCGTGTCATCGTAGCCCTGGTACTGGCCTTCTTCATCAGCTGGACGCCCTACAACATCACCCTTATTGTTGACACCATACAAATCAACGAGACCATCAGTTCCAGTTACCAAACTTCCTGTGAAAGTGCCACAGCATTAGATTTAGCTCTCACAGTTACATCCACATTGGCCTACTTACACGTCTGTGTCAACCCAGTGCTTTTTGTGGGCCTGGTGTCACAGAAGAGCTTTCTGTGGTCATAGTCAATGGACACTTCACACGTCTGCTTTCTGAAACATATGCCATCAAACTAATATACAGTATATAATACAATCATTGTCATCTTTTTCTGCAAACTTTAACATCTGTATCAGTATTCTGTCAGAGCAGTTTGGTTTAAAGTATACAAGCTTTAGTCCTTTGACAGTGATTTTTAGTATGCAGACTACATGATAGACATATATAATATATAGTAGAACTCTTGTTTAATCTTGCTTTCAGAAATTTATCTTCGCACAATTGGCAGCTACTGTATATTCTCAACTGTTTTACATTTCTTATGCATACTTGATGCCTTGCAGCTCACATATTTTACAGAGATATAAAACTAATTTCTATTTTGTCAAAATGGATCACATTCTTGGCAGATGTGTTCAATGGATTGTGAGCAGCTGAAAATCACTGTGAAAATAATGAAAAATTCAATTATACAGTATTAAATTTCAATGTATAACAAACCTCCCTGTATCAGTTTCAGTTGTACTAGCATAAAACCTGTAGCTGTAATGCCAGAAATCTGTTTCTTCATTAATGCTGTAAAACTGCAATACAATAGAAGATCAATTATGAGTTGTGGCGAGAGAAAAGAGGCTCAGACTCAACATGTGGTGAAATAACCCTGA